AACGTAGCGTTATTGTTCACGTTTTAGTATTTTCCAGATATAAATGCTAGAAACAATTAAAGATGTATTTGTATAAAAATGGCATTGCGGATAACTTCGCTTTGTTATTTTATCTGGTCCAAACAACAAAGTGTAAAATATGGTAAAATAATTGTATAAAACGCAAATGCTCATGCACCCGATCTATGCGTACAGAAAATTCGAAGCGCACGCGCACTGTCGTTTTTTATCTTTACATTGAACGACTGAGGTTGTTTATTACAAAGTAACCTTTTTATTTTCCAATAAATCTTACAATATTGTTGTTATCAAGATCCATTTTCAAACAAAAGTACTAAAAATGCTCAACAATACTCGCATTGTCCCCTTTCATGTGAATAAATATGTTCCACACAAATACTCTCGGCACAACAAATGCATTCTCTTCATCTTTATAAATATTAATAAAATTTCAATGACAGTTGAATCCAATCAGCGGAGCCAATCGACGAGCACATTATGCAACGATGTCATTTGAAAAAGTTCCAATGTTATTTAATCGACCAACCTCTCGTTCCAGTTTGAATTGTGAAATTTATAAATACTTATAAAGATATAGGGAATGCTTTTGTTCTGCTGATAGTAAAAGCCGCACTTTTTAACTTTACATCTTGAATACAAGATTGATTTTAAATAACGCTGTATCAAGTTGCCCATGTCTGCAATAACTTAAAGGCGGTAAACGTTTGCATGCTGGTTGCTAATGTACAAATAATTTATTTCATTTTCAGAATTTACAATTACACTGCTCGGAATGTGCCGTCGTATCTAACTCTGGACAACTCATTGGACGAAATGCTGGTCCGGAAATTGACAGGTCTGACTGTGTTATTCGGATGAATGATGCCCCTACACTAGGTTTTGAAGCCGATGTTGGCACCAGGACTACCCTACGTATAATATCTTTTGCAACAATAAACTCATTTAATCCTAAAAAGCTATTTAACTCATCCAATTCTGCCGACACTGTGGTGTTCTGGTCACCGAGACAATTTATGCTCACCAATGGATCGGGATGGGTTTTTAATACTCTGTCAACTTACAAAAAAAACTTTTCAAATGTGCAATTTTATATAAACAAGCCAGAAAAGCTAGAAGCTGATCACGAACTTTACCTCAAAGAAACCAGAAGACATATGTAA